GGGTAAGGGAAAGCCCCCGCCCCGGACGCCGGCCGGCCGGCCGCCCGCCAGCCCGAGCGAGCGGCCCGGGGCGTCGAGGGTGGCCGCGCGGCGCGCCGGGCGCCGCCGCCCTGGCCGCCATGTGCTCCCAGCTCTGGTTCCTGACGGACCGGCGCATCCGCGAGGACTACCCGCAGGTGCAGATCCTGCGCGCCCTCCGGCAGCGCTGCTCCGAGCAGGACGTGCGCTTCCGGGCGGTGCTCATGGACCAGATCGCCGTCACCGTCGTCGGCGGCCACCTCGGTGAGCGAGGCGGGCCCCGGGAGGGCCGGGAGGCGCGTCGGGGTCCCCGGGAGTCGGCCGGTGGGCGCGCGCACCCGGGCCTCCTCCAGCCAAGTCTCCTTCGGGTCCCCCAGACCAGCAGCCCTCCCCCGCGAGCCCTCCTTGGGTTAGAGAAAGCCCCTAACCTTGAGAGCTTCCTTTGACCACCGCCGTCCGCCCTGAGGCCAAGATTTGAGAACGGGATTCCGCGTACTGAGGGGACTTTGTTTTGGGAGGAACTCGAATTCGCCTGAAGCTGCCTGGAGGTCCGAGGAAAATCAAGCTGCAAACCCCATATTTGCAAATTCTGCTCGCATTTCGTGCCCTCTCAGGATAGCTTTATAGAAACCCTCACCACATTTACGAAATTGCCATTACAATGAATGTTTTTAAAAGTTTTGCAGGAGTGTGTAAGCATGAGTAATGCACTATAGAATTATCATTCCCAAACTAGGAACCTACATAGGGGGAGAAATTTACAACTGGAGTCCCCTCTTGAGTGTGTAAGCGGGAGAGTAGACCGTTGATGGGTTTTTAAAAACTCATCCTCCTTCCTAAAAGTGTTGAATTCTGATTCCAGAAAAGCCAAGATTTCAGGTCCAGACCATTCTGGCCTCCTATTTCTCCACTGCTGTGTCCAAGAGACATTTTTGGGTAAGACATGGTTATCATCTGTGACCCTGACCTCAAAAGGTTAACTATGTGTTTTAGATATTCTTAATTATTTTTAATACAAGCAGTCTCCTCCTGGAACCGTTGGTTTAGGAACCCCCTCTAACCTGCAGTTTGAGTGGCTTCAGCCTCTACTCTGGAAGTAAGCCAGCTACTTCACTGGAGATCAGATGTGGGACTCGGGGCGGGGGGAGTTTGGGCCCAGTTCAGGGTGCTTTTTTAACCATACCTGGTTAAATAAGCTTATAATTTGTTACTCTTCTTTAGCAGAGGAAAGGGATTCCTTTCCCTTTCTGAACAGGTGACTTAAAGGAGTTTCGAATATGTCCTGTGTATAAGGTATCTGTTCTAGGTGTTTTATCCATAAATTTATCTAAAACCTTCATAAGTAATATCAGACCGTATAGCCCCCCTGATAAATATACTACAAGCTTTAGGTGTCATACGTTTAGTCTAAAACAGTGCGTCATCTGTAAGGGGTACTGTCTGTCGATTCTTGATTTGCTAAAACTCTTACAGTTAATGTAGAACTGGATTCCAGAACAAGCAGTCTGCAAATCTGGTTTCTTAGCACAGCTTTGCTGCTAACAGGTATCTTGGCTTTGCCTTGACGAGGTCACTTCATGTCTTTGAACCTCAGGTTTCTTGTTTATATAAAACTAAGGGTTAAGGTTGTTCTAGCTCTAAAATTGTTCAGTGGAATTATGTTATCTTTTACTGATCTAGATCTGGGATATACATCTTTGTACCACCAGCGTTAGTTTGTTTCCTCTTCATTTTATTGATTTATTTTGCAGCAGGTAAAGATGCCGTTTTTGAGGTACAGCAATTGAAGTTCCACATCATATTTCTGTTGGAGACCCATCCGGCATTCTGTGAAGGAGTAGGGAAAATTCTCTTTGTTCTGTGTCTAAAACCCCATTTGAGGAGCGCCTGGCTGGCTCAGTTGGTAGAACATGTAGCTCTTGATCTTGGGGGGGGGTCGTGAGTTTGAGTACTATGTTGGGCATGGAGGTTACTTTTTTAAAAATTTAAAAAAACAAACCATTTTAAAGAATCGGTCCTAGAGAAAGAAAATTATATTCTTTTTCTGCAGGAAAACCCTTTAAACCCTTTTGTTTAGTGTCTTAAATTTTACAGGAATTCATGTGAGAATGTGTCTCTGTCTCTTTGCAAACCAGAAGTTATTTCTTTCTAAACTATGAGAAAATATAGTCGCTGGAGTAACTGCAGACAGGGATTTTTTGAAGGAGTTTTAATCTTCTGTTAATTCAGAGATACCCAGACACAATTCATGACACATAAAACAAACCTATCAGATCACTCTTCCTGCCATCCAAAGCAGTGATGAGATTTATTTGTCATGGGGGTGTGTTAATCGAAGCCCAAGGAGGTAAGCTCTGTGCAAAGAGTGAGCTCCTTTGCTTGTTCATTGCTGTAATCATGACTTGAACAGGGTCTTGCAGTAATAGGCACTCAGTGAATTTTTTTTTGAGTGAATAAAGGTATGCGCTCTATTTCCCAGTTTCTTTTATCGTCAGACTACAGAAAAGCCTTGGCAATTTGCTGAGCCAAGTATTCCTCTGGAGTAAACTCTAGAACTTACTGGCTTTGAAATGCAGAAATAGTTACCGATATTAATGACATTTCCCATTCGCAAATTATTGAGGGTGAGAGCTGGGAAAGCCTTTAAGATCATCCATCCTGACCCTTTCCATCCTGACCCTTTCCTTTTACTAATGAAGGACCCGACGCTCAAAGATACTCAGTGCCATCCCGCTGGTTAGTAGCTATCTACAATTCAAGACCCAATCTAATTCCCGTCTCTGGATACAGAATAAGCATGTGCGAGGGCATTTGCTGCCCATGGTACCTTTTTCTGTGGATGTGGAATTGAACTGAGTTGAATTACCCTGAGGCTAGACAGTGACTTTGCAAAGTGATTTTAAAATTTAGGAAGTTAAGGCACTCCCTTTACCAAGTCTCCCTCTCGAGATTAGTGCAAGGGGGTCCATGCAGGAGTCCCTTTGGGACAGTTGGAGCATGACATCAGCCAGTTACTTAAATTCTTTCCTGAGCTTCCCTCTGTGGAGGCTAGTAGGACCCCAAATCCAGAAACCAAAATTTCAGGTTCTGTCTGGAAATAGGATTCATACAAGAGATGGAAAGTTTGGGATTTAAAGATTGCAGTTATTTAAACAAGGTAATACGAGTAAGCTGAAGATGTCGTGCACATGCAAGGTTTTGTGGTGAGTGATGTTGCTGCCCCAGCGTAGGTTTGCATGGGATGAGTGGGAATGGCCGCTGGGAAGAGTTAATGACCTTCAGGTGGCTGAAGCAGTCCTGCATGGAACGCTTTCCCTTCACCCTTCTGCGGGACGTGCATAATGAGAGCCATGCCCATCTCCATTCCTTCTTGGAAACCGCAAGTTGTTCATTCGTTCAACGGATATCTCTTAATTACTCTCTACCGTGGGCTAGTGTGGTGGTGCGTATGTCACCCAAATACACAGTCAGAGTCAAAGCAAAAAACGCATGGTGTTTATCATGGACCAGGCAGAGGTCGGGGTTCTTTCTACAGATTAACTCTGTAAACATCAGTAAGGTGTCTGGCACGTAGTACTGGCTGTCAGGACCAGTACTCAGGAATTGCAGGCTCAGCAAACTTGGTTTCCTCCCTTCCACTCCACCCCATCAGTGCACCGCCTGCCCTGACTTCAATCCCCATGGTGCCCATGGGGTCTGCTCCCTCTCCCTCACCCAGCGCGCTTGCATTCCTCTTTCCGCTCAGCTCACATCCCTCATCTCTCCAAGGTCTTTCTTGAACTCCCTCCCCTCCCCTCCTCTCCCCTCCCCTCAGGCAATCCCTTTCCCTTCTGCTGCCAAGTAACGTTGTTGAAAATAGCGTCCCTCATATTTTATTGTAATTTATCTATTTACAAAGTTTATAGTCTCTCTCTTTCGCCCTCCCTCCCTCCACGCCTGGGAATCCCCCAGATGCGTGCTCCGTAACTGGTACCCAGTAGGCCTCCCGTTAATGGTTGGATGGTTGAGTGAAGGGCCTGAGAGGCTAATTGGAAGCTTAGGAGACTTTTGCCGTAATTGGGTTCTGTTTGGGAAATCATGTTTGGATGTCTGAATGTTTTTGTGATGAGCCTTTCTCTGAGGGCACAGTCCCCCGTGCAAATTAAGTTCTTTGACCACCCACGGGCCTTTACAACGACAGTTTCTGGTCTCAGGAAACAAGTATAGTCACAAACTCAGGGACAGGCATCAAGACCAGAAAAATGCGTCTGACCTGGAAACGAGGGTGTGTAACAGTTTGTCTCTGAGGAGCAGAATGATTCAGCATTCCTTGCCTTCCTTTCCGAGCTGAAACCTTGGTGGCCATATGGTGATTTCTAGGTCAGGTTCTTTGTTATTTTTTTTATATTTATTTACTTATTTAAGATTTATTTATTTATTTTTGGGGGGTGGGCACCTGTGAGTGGGGGGAGGGGCAGAGGGGGAGAGTCCTTTCAAGCAGATATCCTGCTGAGCGCGGAGCCCTTTGTTGGGGGTTCAGCCCCTGGGAGATCATGACCCTAGCTGAAACCAAGAGTCAGACACCCAACCGACTGAACCACCCAGGTGCCCCTAGGTCAGGTTCTTTAAATTAAGGTGTCTGGGATACTTTTCCTTGGTTCCTTGTAGTAATCAGCTGAGTAAGACTGAAATATTTGGGTGAAGGGAATCCTAACTGAATTGGAGAAAAAGGTCATATTGCAGACTTGCAGAAGACAACAGAGGCCTCATGGAGAAGGGAAGGACTCCCGTTGCTATGTAAGCAGGCACTAGCAGACAAGGATACCATGCTAACCTAGGGCACAGAGGTCGATCTTTGACCTCGCTCTCTGCCAAAGGCCTGTGCCTGACACCCTGTAATCTGAATAAACCACCATACGGGACTAGTGGATAAGTCAGAGAGCGGATGCAGGCACCTACCGTGTACTGTTTCTAAGCGGATGTGAGCACTGAATGGATAATCTTTACCCCGAGCGTCCTCGTTTATATCCATGGGCCAATCTCAAGGACTGAATGAAGGTGGATTGGATGTGTAGTTTATGATTCTTTTTTTTTTTTTTAAGTTTTTTTTTTTTTAAAGATTTTATTTATTTACTTGACAGAGATCACAAGTAGGCAGAGAGGCAGGCAGAGAGAGGGGAGGGGGAGAAGCAGGCTCCCCGCTGAGCAGAGAGCTGATGTGGGGCTCGATCCCAGGAACCTGGGATCATGACCTGAGCCGAAGGCAGAGGCTTTAACCCACTGAG